ACAAATGAACCGTGAATACAATTTGAACACAAATGAACCGTGAACACAATTTGAACAAATTAACAGATGAACACAAATTAACAGATGCTACCTTAATTTTGTGGGGCGTCTATGTATGTGAATGTATGGGCCAAAAATTGCACATATCGTTTTCATTTGTGTTCATATCGTGTTCACGGTTGTTCATTTTTGTTCAAATTGTGTTCACGGTTCATTTGTGTTCAAATTGATCAATACCGAAAATTGTTACTACCATGTTTCTTATGCGATTTAGAAATTCATACAAGAATGAACATGGAAGATCAATAGTAAAAAAAATTAATAATATGAATGCATATTTTTTGGGATTTGATTGTTTGTAACTCCCCATTAATTGTTTGGTGGTTACAAATGAATTCAATTTATTACAATACCCTTGATAGTAGACGCGCATAGAAAGTGTATTTTTTTTCTTCCCAAAATGCCCCTTTCATCATTGTTCACTAGGCCTCATTAAAATTCAAAATTTAATTTTTTTATTGATTAATCTTAACCGTTAATTATAGATTTGGATGGTCAAAATCAATTAATAAGGTTAACACAAAAATGATGGTTAAGATTTGATCTTTGCCATATATATTAGATACAGTTTTCGTTTTTCTTTTAATTGAGATTATTTAAATGTTTGGAACTTTTTAGTCGAACGTTGAATCAAAATCCTATGTTTTATTTTGGTTAATTAGTCAATTGTTAGATGTACATATATAAATAAACGGGTAAGGTTAGTTTCTCAAATCTTTTAGATCCATGACTTTATTTAGACTATTCTTATATATAAAATAGATGTAGACAAGAGAACTGTTACGATCATACCAGTTATATACATACCCTGATTTCTTTTAATTGTATCTCATCATTGTCGCATTATCATCATGTGTGGTTTCTGCATATGAATATGGAGAAATGCAATATAGATTACAATGAATGGTTTGTGAGATCATCGTAGGTGGGATTTCGGAGTAAAACTCATGTGTTTGACTAAGACAATAATCAAGGATAGGTGGAGTTAGGACATGATGTTTCATGGAGTATAACCATTTGACATATTGCAGTGTAAACGTTTGATGAAGATCAATTAGTATTCATCTAAAATGCATTGAACCGTCGTCTAGATTCTCGTCATTAGTAACATCCAATTTTTGGTCTGTTTGTATAGTGTGCATGTAGTAAGGACCAACGTTGTCAAGATGGACAAGTGTTAGTCTATTTTTCGTATACTTACTTGTATTTGTATGTTATTGCTTAACGTTTTATTTATTTTTTGTATATGTTTTTCTCATTTTTATACATTTTTCATAAATCATGATTCATGAGTCATGACACATAAAAACCGGAAATAAATAAATAAAAACCCAAAAAGACATTAATCCAGCAAAGGCCCAAGAAGACCACTTCATAAGGCCCTACATTACAACCCCATCATCTAATTACCCAAATTGTTCTTCCTCATTTATTTTCCTCCAAAATTAATTGTAATTCAAATTAAAACCTAAGCAAATACGAGACTCAAGTGTATGTAGGTTGGTGTTAATTTGCAATATTTGAATAAATATTAAAGTGACACAATAAGTTTATAGGACATTTTTTTTTAAAATAAAATGTCATATTACTTGTAGAAAAAACATTTTATACATATACACGGATTCAACAATTTTGCTAGGATTATAACGGTAGTAGAAGATTTGAAAAATAATATTTTTTTATTAGGTTCATTTAATTTCGACCTTTTGGGTTACCTTTTTTTATTCAAATAACCTAAGATCAAAATCATCTTTTTCGGGTTTAATAACTTGCTTTTATCCGTCCTCTAAACAAACGAGCTTTAAAAATATTTATATTTCTGTAAATATGTAAATTTCTAAACTGTATAAAATCATTGAAAACCACATCATTTTATTCCAACCTAAATAAGACTTAACGTATACATAGTTTTATGCCTCTTATGTATAACTTAGTTGGCAAATGAATGAGACGACTTTATTTAAATAAAAAACATATCTAGGTTCGATCCCACCTCGTAGTATCAGTCGTTGAGTGAGTCAAAAAATGCACTCACTCATTGGTGTTCATGGAGGCGGGTTTCTGTGTGGAACCGGTTGGATAAAATTCAACTCTTTCGCTCATTTATCGAGTAAGATTTTAGTCTACCAAAACAAAATCGTATGTAACAATTTACCCGGTAAGCGCTAACCATGGTAAGAGTCATCGCCATCACTTACCGGGTAAGACTCTTGGTCATTGCCTTCGCTTTTACCAGGTAAGATTTTTGGTCATTGTCATATTCATCCAACAAAAGAATGTAATTTGATAAGGGCTTACCCAAGTAAGTATTTAGTAAACTAGCCATAACATTTGTAAAGGTAGGCCTTATAGTAAAAAAGATATTGATTATAAAGCTTTACAAATTATATTTACAAGTTATTTTTTTAATATTGTTTTGATGAAAAAGGTATATATAATCAGGATGTAGGATCCGTCCAAAAAAAAAATTACACCACTTATATTTTTCCATTAATTTTAACGAGTCCATCCATTTTTAATGGTTATCCAACCCAATTTTTTAACGGATAAAGGATTATTATTGTAACACCCAAAATTTACATTTGTATATAATTATATATTTTATATATCATAAAATATAAA